GGAATAAATCTCACTTGATAATGGTGTATGATCCTTTTAATCCTTTTAAGTAAACTGTGAATTTAGTTTGCTAATATTTTGTTGAGGATTTTTGCCTCTGTGTATGTCAGGGATATTGGCTTGTAATTTTCTTTTCTTGTACCCTTGTCTGACTTTATTATCAGGGTAATACTGGCTTTGTAAAAATGAGTTTGAAAATTTTTCCCTCTTTTATTTTTTGGAAGAGTTTGAGAAGGATTGGCGTTAATTCTTCTTTAAATGTTTGGTAAAATCCACCAGGGAAGCCATCTGTTCCTGGATTTCTTTGTTGGGAGGTTTTTGATTACTGATTTTATCTTCTTGCTAGTAATTGATCTGTCCAGATCTTCTGTTTCTTCATGATTCAGTCTTGGTAGGTTGTATGTTACTAAGACTCTAACCATGTCTTACAATATTCCAATTTGTTGGTATGTAATTGTTCCTAGTAGCTTCTTTTGAGCCTTTGTATTTCTGTAATATCAGTTGGAATATCTCCTCTTGCAATTCTGATGTTATTTATTTGAGTCCTTTCTCCTTTTTCCTTGGTAAGTCTTGCTAAATATTTGTCCGTTTTGTTTATCTTTTCAAAGAATCAGCTCTTACTTCATTGATCTTTCCTATTGTCTTTTTAGTCCCTATTTCATTTATGTCTGCTCTGATCTTTATTTCTTTGCTTTTACTTAATTTGGGCTTAGTTTGTTTTATTGTTTTTAGTTTCTTGAGTTACAAAGTTAGGTTATTTATTTTAGATCTTTCTTTTTCTTAATGTAGGCATTTGTCACTATAAACATCCCTCTTAGAACTGCCTTGCTGCATCCCACGAATTTTGGTATATTCTGTTTCTATCTTGATTTGTCTCAAGATATCTTTTGATTTCTCTTGATTTTTTTCTTTGATCCATTGCTTGTTTAGCAGCGTGTTGTTTAATCTCCACTTATTTGTGAATTTTCTAGTTTTCTTTTAGTAACTGATGTCTCGTTTCATACTATTGAGGTTGGAATAGATGATTGATATGATTTCAAACTTGCTGAATTTATTAAGGGTAGCTTTTTAATCTAA